TATCGGTTTCATCTCTTAGTTCTTCATCGTTTTTTCAATCTCAAACAGACCAATCGAAAAACGACAGCCGATCTAAAATCACAATCCTGCAATTGAGGTTGAAGTCAGCACTGAATAGCCCTGGCGAGATTGACATCTCCGTTCATACTCATCCAACCGCGAGCTAGGTAATCATGATACTTAGAACTTAGGGTTTTCTCATTGTACGCAATTTCTGAAATTTGTTTTTAAATTTGTGTTTGCGACTGTTTTGAGAACTGAGACAAGAGATGTATTTTTAATTGAACAACATCCTTTTTCTCCCTTTATATCTTTGTTGGTGTTCCTGCCCCGCTTCTCCAAGCGATTTAAATTACAAATGCTCAACACTTTCGCTCTTTAATTTAGAACATAATCAAATGGGAAAAGAGGAAGGATAGACATTAGTCACTTTAAGAACATAATCAACTTGGTATCTAGATTTCATCTGTCTTTCACCGCATATTGATAAAAAGCATTCTACTTCTTTTTCATTTTGTTTGGACTTGTATTGGGTACTCTCAATAGTCTTTCCAATTTCTATATATATCCTCCATTCACTCTAACACTTAACTCAAACTTTTACCATTCTTTGAACTTTTACCAATTTCTATATGACTTTCCAAGGTCTTTGATATGCATGCAGAAAAATGATAGATGCTTCTAACTGCTTTGGCCATGGATTATCATTGACGTACAAATGCTGAGGTTAATCTTGCTTTCCATCCCACATGGAATACTTGAAAGATTATGTAAGACATTCGTGGCCCCTCTGTTTGTACCCTTTGGATTCCTTCAACTTCTAATTCACTTTCGGCCCCCTTGATTTCCTTACGCTCTTAATACTTTATTTATTTACTTATAATATATGTTCTTTCCAGGCTTGAGTCTTTTAAAAACTCCAGATCTTTGATTTGCTGCCCTATGCAATTAAGTTTGTGATGTTTTCTTATTTATTCAGGTTATGGTTCATACTGTAAGACCTAACCTGCAAGTTATTACCATGAGTGAGACCCCGCGCTTCCTTAGAAAGCTTTTCTGAAGTTCTTCCCAACAAAATTAACAGCACTACAAAGGTACTCTAAGCCCCCCTTCGATAATGAGACGATGCAGGAAGCCATACAATGTTTAGTTTAAACATAATTTGGTCTCTCATCAACGATTTCTTCAAACTAGAGTTTAAATTTTGTTACTAGATTAAAGATTTGAATTCATACCTAAAGAACGAGAAAATTCAAGAGATTTGCCACAACAAAATCAAATACCATTTCCTTTAAATATCTAATTATTCAGTTGTATATCTAATTCTCTGTTCCCTTTCAAAGGCTTTGGCCATCACGTATGAGACGAACATTTCATGGAGACCATTGATCACGACTGTACCCAAAAAAGTTTTGAAATTCGCGTCGAAATCATTGGTACTGTAATGGAGGGGATCTTGTTGGGTACTACAATGGCTATCACTAACAAGAAGGTAAAATTATATGCTCGTAGTTCTGTTCATGTTGTCAACTTGAAAATTAATGTGTGAAACACTGTTTTCTTGTATTGTGTACCTTTAGGGTTTAAAATTCTCAAAAATCCCTTATTTCATGTCTTTCGTTTGGAACCTAATAACATTTTCTGATCCTGGTAAATCTTGTTTGTTTGTTGTACGTTTTGTGTTAGAAACCTCCAACGCAATGCTTACTTAATGCATTAAGCAATTTCACCAAAATGGGTTTTCAAGTTCAAAGTAAACCTCCACAATCTGAGGAATGCTCTAAACATGTAGCTCGAACAATATAGTGTTGAGATAGCCTCATGATGCTTTGCATAGATGCCTTTCATGCTTAGAACTGCAATTATTTTTCTTAATGCACCCAAGTCCTTCCCTTCTGCATTTACTTTAACAAATTTCCAAAAAAAAAAAAGTTTTAAAAGTGTTGTGGATTCCAAGTGAAAAAACTGATTTTTACCAACATATTTTTATGTTTGATAATGCGTTGCTTGTGATATATTGTTAGATGCTCGTGTATGTTAAATGTGAAAGGAGTATGAAGGAGCAATTGATGTGGTGGCCATATTATGATTCCCTGTCGCGGCTTCTAACAGAGTTAGACACAACTCAAAAGGTGATGTTGGATGTTATCAATACTATCACATGTTTCAGGGTCTCACCAGTGTTTCTTTTAAAGATGTGTTGGTTTTTGTTTTTCCTTTCTTATATATGTAATTTGTGTCAAATGTTTGCTCAGTTTCGCTTTAAATCGTATCTTTGTGTCTAGTTATTTATAAAAAGGATCAAGATCATGAAAATGAATTAGTTTCGTTTGTGTTATCCATGTGTTAGGATTGAAATTCATTGTCTAAACTAGAATCATATTTGCAATTAGCGATATATTTTATTTCATTCACTAAACAAAAATCCATCTATTTCCATATTTGAAAATGATTTATTTGTTTCTCATTTTATAGTCTTAGTGTTTTCTTTGCTATTTATTGTTAATGTTTTTTTTAAGGCTAAGTTTAATTCATCTAAATTAGAGAACCCATAAATTTCTTTATTTAATATGAAGTGATATTTCATGTATGTTGGGTCGTCCTAATTCTCTCCTAGGCGCGATCCCCAACGCAGCCGCCGCCTGAAGCTCCACTGCAGATCTGATGGTCTCTCACCACAGTATCACCTTCGCTCACGTCTACACCGCCATTTGACTCTCTTGAAGCACCTCTTGGGAGGGCTTCGTAACTCCTTTGATGCTGTAATTCTCTCACCGTCGCGACCTATCATCCTCTGACCGTTTGCATCTAGTCAACGGCGAGAACCTCTCAGATCTCTCCATGGCTTCCAGTGATTTTTGGCTTAAATCCGATTGGAAGATTGCTCCCCTGTTCGCTACAGATCCGGTGTGTCTCGCAAATCGAATCTGCTCCTTCCCCTTCCTCCCGGTGATGACATCCGGAGTATTGCAGAACCTCCCTCCTCTGCCGGAGCCGCCGGATCCACCGGATCGAGCTCCTCCTCATAAGTCATAATCCCTAACTCCTTCCTAGCCAGTGTTTTCTTCCCCTCCGCATCTGTCATCGCTTGGGTCTATTCCGAACATAAATCCGCCGCACTCAACCACATCTCCTTTGGCGGTGGTTTGGAATCTCGCCAATCATGACGACGATCCTCTCAACTCTTACTCTTTGGGCATTCGACGGGCTTTCGACTGTAAGCTTCTTTTTCTTTGGTGATGTCTTAATGAGCTTGGTGTATGAAGAAACTTTAGAGGGCTTGGCCTATGGTGTTTTTTTAGTGGATTGCGAACCCAAGAACAATTTACGATGGTTAATGATTTTAGCTGCATTCACCAGATTAAGATTAATGATATTAGTAGTGATAACATCCGTGACTAGTGTCAAAGAAGGGCAACTAGGGAATGAGTGTAAAGCCAAGATTTTAGAATGCTTGGTGACTCGAGCTGAAGCTAAGAGCGGTTTTGTCGCAACTAAGGGGAATAAGTTAGAGCAGTTTTGTTGCGAGCTTTAGAAGAAGACATAAGGACAATTTCGGTAGAATCCTGACTCCTTACAATTGGATCGAGCTTTTTCGTTAGGCTCAAAGGTTTTCAAATTTTCATGATCATAAAATTAATTAAAGTTAATGTGTCTTATATCCTTTAAGAAAATCCAACTTTAGGTTTTCTAAAATATTATGATGTTTTATACTAAGAAAATTTGATTGGAACGAGAGAATTTTGAATCGAAGAAATCTTCAAAATTATGAGAAATATGGTTTCTATCATGCACCATATAATCGATGCACCATATAATCGATGTGGATGGTCAATATATTTAATGTGTGTTTTTTTTAAAAAACTTAAGTATAACGTTGACTCTTCTAAATGAATTTTTTTTCTACAACATAATAACATGTTCATTTAATCCAACATAAATTTTGAATCAATAGTCCTAATGGATTGTAAAGACCACCAAAATTATGGTAATTTATTTCTTTTCTTGTGTCCAACTATTAGGTTATCCCAAAAATAGAAAAAATTCATAGGACTCGATATCATGTGTCGAAGATAATAATATTCTATGTAAGATATGAGACATATATCTTACGTTGCTATTGACATTTGTTTTTTTTACCATAAAAATCATGTCATTAAGTATTCAAATAAACATAAAGCAATATCATTGGAAC